TTAGTGACTTGGCAGAGTTGAATAATGTCTTTTTACTATGTATTTGCAAGATCGGGTATAATTACATGTGCAGTAAAACCTGAAAATGAACATGGTTTCATTTTGACCACTGTATGAAAGCTGAGTAATCCAGTTATAAGTGTATATATAGGTACATGAAAGTGGTCGACGTGGCAAAGTAGAAGTACCAGTGTATCCCGTTTCCTCTTGGCAGGAAATAAATAGATGAGATGAAAGCATTTTGAGAGTGGGCTGGATTTACCATGTAATGTGTGTGTTTAGATACAGAGAGATATATATAAAAAAATATATATATACACACACACCCCATGTGTGTACTATACTACGTGTGTGTAATGTACTACGGTATATCAACTGAATGTGTGAGCATCTTACTCGACCATCATTCTACATGTGCTCCTGGATTTCTTAGTTGGCTGCATTGTGTGTGTGTGTGCACAGCGATACCGTGTTTTGTACACTGCAGAAGTGTTCAAAAGCCTTGGGTTAGTTCTCTCAGCTCTGCACAGAACAAGGTATTGCAGTACAATCCTGTCTTGAGAAGGTGAAAGGCCCTTTTGGGGTTATAGGTTTTGTATGTATTTGCATGTATTTACTTTTTAAAAATAAACAACTAGTTTATATTGCTTTATTCATTGAATAAATTCATTGAATAAGTCCTCTGCTTCTTAAGCCATTGTTAATTACCTTGATTTTTAGGCACACTGTCTGGGTGGATCTCAGGTTAGTTGGATTTTAGTTTATATTCTAAACAAATGTCTAGCAGTTCTGCACAGCCTGTAACTCAAAATCAAAATACAGGTGGAAATGCTTTCCCCACTTAAGACAGTTTGTAGTGCTATACTGTGGAAATCTGTTTAGAGTCTGTTTGTGAGTGTGGTGGTTTTTTCAGTGAAACTAAGGAAAATTCATCAACAAGATCGGAAGCCAGCTTGCACTCACACTGTGTCTCTCTCTCTGGCACCACTGCTCTTGCATCCCTTTTAGGACCAGTTTCAAATGGAGGAATTGGGAGCAGCCCTGTCCAAGGCTGTTCAGGGTTTTGGCACTGTCCTGCATAATGGCAGCAGTGGGTTCAGATGCAAACTCAGAAGGGTCTTAAATCCAGACCTTTATTGTAAAAGCAAGCACTGTAATAACTAGGCAGTTATGAAGAAGGTGCCTGCTACCTCCTGCCACTGGACAGATCTCTATTCTGGGTGCTCGGGGGATGAAGCTGCTTCATCACAGAAGCTGCATCAAAATACAGGCAAGGCTTCTCTTCCTGATATTCTTTATTCTGAAGAAAAAGAGGCTCTGTGGCTTTTGCGGGGGTCTGGGGAAGCTGAACATATGTCACATTAGATTTAGGATGGTGATGCTTTCTTCCATTTTTCTGTGTCTGGAGTCGAACCTGCTTTATGGTTCTTGAGTTACACATGGCCTACGTAGTCATCCACTCATCCTGTGGGAAGTATTTCAGAAGTAATTTCAGGAAATATTTCAGAAGTGAGACCAAAGCTCAGTCTCTGTGGCGTCGCAGACTGAGCAACATTGACTCCTCACTGCAGGAGCAGTGCCCCTGAGGAGAGAGGAGACGCACGTCTGTCCTTACGTCGGTGGCGAGGACATGCACATCTGTCCTTACGTTGGTGGCCAGCTGACCAGAGACAGGCACTGGCAACCAGCCTACAATAAGCTTGCTTTTCATCCAGGTGATTCTTCTGAAAAAGTGTACTAAAACAAAGAGCCAAAGTTCCAGTCACAAATGATGGAGTTGGTAGGAGTTATGACCAGTTCCAGGCTAGTGAGCACTTGCCCAGAGACATGGTCCTGTCACTGCGATTGCTTCTACGTGAGGTAAAATCTAATTCTGCTACTATGGTATGAACACGCCTTGGAGCATTAGCCCATATGTCAGCATGCACATGACATCCAATGCCAGCCTTCAGCTGTGGCTCCTATAACTTTGGCTCAAGTCCATATGCTTCCCATAGAGGCACCAGATGGACAAGAATATTTTGTCGTCTCATTTTGCCCTTACGGAACCTGAAAAACCCAAGGAAAGGGAATACTGACTCCTGTGTCCCACCTTCTTCTCAGATTCTGGTCACAGGCATGGGCAGAGATGCCCACTTGGCCTGCACAGAGGTGTGAAATGTCTGACCATGAAAGCTGCGGGACTTCATCTCAGCATCCCAGAATTTAGAGCCAAAGCACTTACAGTGCCTGAGCAAATAGGATTCATATTGTATCTCTGAAAACTCACATTTCACATCCTGGCAGCCACCTCCTCCATCAAAAAGAAAGAAAAAATAAGCAAGTAGTATGAACTCACCATGACAACTCAAAATTGTTGGTGTCTGGAAACTGCTTAGAAATAATAATTGTATGATGGACTCCAGTTACTGTATCACCGGGAGTCGAGCGGGGGGAATAGAGCTGTGTGTTTTTCATGATAGCACTGTCATAATAACAAAGGATGTTATTCCACTGCCCAACGGTTTGTTGCAATGGGGGTACAAGTGGAGAATTGTTTCCCAAAAGTATGTTTCTACAATGGACTACAGTCTTCCAGAAGACCTTTGTACAAATCCTGGGGTTTGTATGGTTTGTGAGCTGATAAAGGACGTCCCCTGCTCCTTACCAGCTGAGTTAGTTTGCTTAATAAATTACAAATGTCCATCAGTCTCTGATTCATTTCCTAATTTGCCAGCTATAATTTAATAGTATCTTGATGAGCTATTTCACTCAGATACAGTCTTCCGGCAGTTCACGACCTCGATTAAATACTAAAGATCAGGTCTACTCTAGAGAAACCCAGGTGAATGTGGAACAGATAAGGAAGATTGATTAAATTACAAACTAGCGGTCTAGATGAAAGAGGACTCCCAGACGGTTCGTACAGCGTGGCCTCGCCAGCAGGAAGCTTCACCTTTATGGCAAATGGAAGATCGTGCAAATCAGACCAAAAAGCTAAAATAAATTCATTTAGTAGCCGTGTTTGTGTAGCATGTTGGAGGAGAAGAGAAATTTTGCTGCTAAGGAGACGAGGAAGGAGATAATTACAATAATCAAAATAGGAGATAAAGAGCTCCTGCGTGTAGCTGTCAGGATAGAAAGAGAGGACAAAAGTTGGATGATTGCTGGGTTACCAGATGATTAAAGGGATGTTGTCATATTTGTGAATATTTTGTCTGGTTATGAGCATATGCGGGGTATATTGCTTGTTGTTCTGATAGGTGTATGTACTGCAGCTTCCATACAGTCACAGTCGTGCTTTCTGTGTGTTGAAGTTGAATTTTATGAAAAGGCTCATTAGAGATTTATTATAGAGATACACACACACATCTACACAGGGACGTACTTGCTCTGCTCTTGGCAGGGATACTGTTTCTTTCTCCACTCCATTCAGAGCCATGCAAATCAGATTAGCGTTTTCCTTCAGATTTTGTTAGAGTCTTCAGGATGTTTTGCCATTTAAGCTTTCATTTTTTTAAAAGTGCCTAGCGTTCTGGGTGAAAGAAGCTTTCTCTGGCATAAATTGACACTTGATTGTCATCTTGAGTCTCTTGTCATTTGATACTGAGAGATGCAACAGTCCTCTCTGTTACGTGGATCAGTGGTGTTCTCCTTGAAACTTTAATTAGAGGTTTTAGCCTTCATGGCATGGATGCTAATTGCAGAGTGTGGCTGGATCTGTAGCGGTGGATTTTATGCTGGCAAAAATGGAGTCTGACTTGATTCTGGAAGGAAAGGGATCTGATAAGGGAACTTGATTATAGGTTCTTTTAAGCTTGTGTTTGTTCTGCTCGCTAGCATTAGCATCACTCCATTTTTCAGACATTTTTTTTTTTCAGATACAGTATGTATTTTCAAGCTTATGTCTATGCTGTTTTATTTTTCTTGAAGAATACAAAACCACCGCTGGTACTTTTGTGCAGCCACTCTAATGATCTTTCTAGGTGCCAATTCAATGTGTTCGCACTCTCATTCTGTGTGCTGATGTTTCTTCATGTTTAGCTGTAACTCAAATTACTCTTTCCTCTCAAGAAAATGTTTGATTGATCTCTGTGATTATTCGCAGATACTCCTGAGTGAGAGTTCTCTGAACATTTTCTGCTTTATTTATTTACAGTAGTTTTGTATAAAACGGTCTAGTCTGTCATTGCCTTCCACCTTAAAAGAATTCAATTCAGCTATAAGCTATTATGCCATATTTGGGTTTTTATTTGGTTGGTTTTGGGGTTGTTTAGTAAATTTGATCTGTAAAGTAATCAACAGGTTTTTTTCTGCAGAGAACTTAAATCTATCCCAAATATTTGTCCAATCTGTTCATCAAGAAACGTCTTTGCCGTGTGTATCACGTTGAAGGCGCACAGAAGTAGGCGACCGTAAAAGAAAAAAATAGCCTTATAGGAAGACATGAACTGTAGGTAGGAGAATGTGGCACTAAGGGAATACAGACTAAGCCTCCGTGCTAATTCATGTGGAAGGCCACTCCTGCACTGGCGGAAGTGCAGCCGGTCAGACGTGACAAGATACGGTGTTGGACTGATAGATTGACTGGCAAGGGCTAGAGGGCTGCAGCGATACCTCGGGTCGGAAGTACAGCTGCAAGAAGGCAAGGGAGTGAAGTATTTTTTCTAAATAACAACTAATTGCAGCAAAGAAACAGTACTACGAGAAAGACCGTGCTGTTGGTTTTTACAGCTGGGAAGGGCAGGAAGAGGGGAGGGGAGGCAGAGATGAATGGGGCCTGTCAGGTGGCTTAAACACGCACGTTTTGGGAAACCCCCATTGCATGTGTGGTCTTTTTAAGCCTGGCAAACTTCTTTCATTCTATTTCAAAAGCCCAGAGCATAGGCAGCTCAGGAAAAAGTCAAATATTTGGATAAGTACCTTTTGTTTAACTTAGGTATTTAGTCAGAAGAAGAAGAGAAAGAGCACTGTTCTTGCAATGCAGCACAACTCTAACAACATCTTCATTTTGATTTCAGAAGTCTACAGAACAAATGAAGAAAGTACCAACTATTGTCCTGTCTGTCTCTTACAAGGGAGTCAAATTTATTGATGCAACAAATAAGGTATGTGCAATTATTCAATATTAGCCTTTATTTCTCACAAATAGGAATTACCTGTAAGTGCACCAGGCCAGAGAGGAGACAGAGTTGCACTTTGTGTTTTCCTCTCTTTTTTCTCTCCTCTCCAAAGTGGATGTAATGTCATTGTCATTCTCCAGCAACTCAGTCTGGAGGACAAGTGAAGCAGCTTTAATGGCTCATTTGGAGAACACTGCGTCCAACCTTCTGCCATTAAAAGGCAAGCTCATTACAAAAGACATTTGGCAGGGAGCCTCTGTGGAATCCTTTACCATATTCTTCCCTATACGGTTCCTTAAATATGCAGAAAATATTTGTTCATTAATATAATTCTAGTAAAAAGAAGAAAAAAAAGATGTCTCAATGAAGAATGAAGATGCAAGGTTTTATCCAGGGCCAACCATTGTAAAAATAAGAAACATGAGCCTTGAATGTCCTTTTCAAATGTCAGGGCCTCTCTGAGAGCTGTTTTCCTGGTACTAGCCATTTGACTCCCTGAACTGCAGCAGCTTCTTAACAGTTGTTATTCCATATTTTTTTCATCTTCCTGTGTGGCAATGCCCCCATGCTTTGCTTCTTACATTTTAAAATACATCCAACATCTTTTAAAAAAAAATAAAACCCAAAAAATAAAAAGCAGAAATTGAGAGATCAGAGAACTCAGTGATGGATAGAGCAATGGGTTAGCCAAAGTAAAATTTACAAGCTCTGTAAGCAGGAGTCAAGTAATGCATTAATTTCTCTTCGGATGTCTAAAATGGCAAGAAAATGCGACCTATATTGATCCATGCATATAAATAGAAAAGAAATTATCTTTTCTGTTATGTGACTAGAACTCACTAAGCAATATGAAAAATAAATCTGACAACCCAGCTACTCAACCAGGTTAATAATGTATATGACTGCTTTGTGTTGCTGAACGTTCAGATCACGCAATACGTCTGACCCAGTCTCTGTCAGACTTGCCAAATCAGTCAGTTTTTAAAGGTGTTTAATTAGAACTGGGTTTTAACTGAAGGAACAAGAGCAGATGTGTGAGCCTCTGCTGGAGTTGGGAAGCCATATCCAGGGTTAGAAGATGGCATGAAAGAAAAACAGAGGCGAAATTACTGTTATGTCAAATGTGGCATATTTGCCAGAGCAGAGAGGCCAGGGATCCCTGTCAGCTCCTTTTTCTTCCATTGATTAAAAACTGGGCTTCTACAACCCTGATTTCCTTTATGTTTTCTCATGTGCAAGGCATAAGTCAAGATATTGTAATGCTATTAACTGTAACTTGGATAAGGCTTGTTTCGACTCTTAAATCCCCTCTGTAGTGTAAAGGATGTAGCTGCAGTGTCCTCTGGTTTACCAAAAAAAAAAAAAATCAGGAGAACAAAAGGAGCTTCCAGTATTTCTTTGCACAGTGCATATAATCCTTTGTAAGACGGAAACTTGAAAGAAGTTTGGCAAATTGCATTAAGTGGCTCTAGACCAGTCCCGCTGAAATCTTACGCCTAGTAGTGCAATAGATGTATTTGATGGAGGTAACTAATGCCACAACCCTATGCTTTTTCTGAAGTGGTAGATTGCTTTCTCTCCAGTTCAAAATCTGCACTGCCTTTCCCTTCTGTAAAAACCAGGTAATAGCCTGCAACTCTCCCAGGAGCGTTGTTTTCATCCTTGTCCACAGTCTGCTGTACCCAATTCCTTCAAGACCCAAAACAGATTAGCACTAAGGTGAGATCCTATTCCGACTTGTACCGCTTCCATATGAGCTTATAGTTGACAGCGCTGGGCACCTCTTAGCAATAAATGCATACTTTTTAACGACAAAAGTAGCTAGCAGTTATGTGCTTGAAAACTCAGCTCTCATGGCTCTTCATTCTTTTCCTTTGTGCCACCAAGCTAAGAATTTGTATTCCGAGTCGTAGCAGGCAAAGCTTCAGGTGACGAAGGGGCCCTGACCTCATTCCGCGACAGCTATTTCAGTGACGCCTTGAAGCTTGGCATGACACCACTTTGACATGACACCATTTCTTTGCAAGTGAGGCCAGAAAGAAATTGCTGCTTAGGAGAAAGCAGACTTGCAGAATTTTCTCATGGGTCGCAGCTAACCCTAACTTCTGGATGGTTTCTGCCAAGAGGGGGAGTTGGCTGGCATGGAGTAGACAGGCAAAAGGAAGGCTGCTTAGCAAAAATCTGATCTCTCCAAGGTATTTCCTTGGCAGAACCAGAACCGACTTTCAGCTTCCCTGCTTTTTGAGAAGCACTGGAGGTTTCTCTTGCCAAAATGAGTGACAGTTTTTAGACCGATGACCGTACAATGTCAGTCAATGCCTGAGGAGTGTACCCAGAACAGCGAGCTGGTTCATCACCTTGGAATTTCTGCAGAATAAGACTATGGGTCTACTGGCATAGTGACCCTAGGAAACAGTAAACATGTGCACTGAAAACATGTTTAATTTTTAAAGGAGGTCACAGAGGATATCCTGTAGAAACTAGCGAAAAGCTCAATTTCACTGCTAATTTTCATCCAGAAGATTTAGTTTAGGTCTACTCTATTTTATTCAAAATAAACTTGATACGGGTATGTTTCCAAACTTGACTTGGCTTCAGGTTAAAACATGAAAATAATCTCCATGAGTTTTGACTCAAGTGCAAAGCCTCGTGTCAACCCCAGGTCACCTAGGAAAAGTTTCAGCATAGCAGAGCTGTTTGCCCATATGCTGCATAAATTCACCTGCTTACTTTGTGGCTCATGATTTGGCATAAATACTTCGTAAGATTTTAAGACCTTCCAAGCTTTAATTCTTTCTGCTTGCTAAACTACAATGTTGCCAATACAACATCAATGAGAGTCTATTACAGCTGTATCTGTGGATATCTAAATCCCCAGTTTTGGTATAATTGTAATTCTCATCAAAATCTTTATTGAGGGTAGAAGTTACCAATTTGAGAACAAAGAAAATAAAACGCTTAAAGTAACATAAAAAAGCCAATGATTGTTAAGCAGAGATTATATATGTCATTATAAATTGACATCTATTGAAACAGAAGTACTGGTTTTGTCATTTTTATGAATAATGTATCAAACAGAAATAGTCAAGTATGTTGCAACAATTTAAGATTAAGAGGATTATTTCATTTCTTCAGTAACAGTTTCCTTATCTTGGTTTCTCCATAATTTGAAATTTGGAATGCTTTTTGTGAAGATTTTTTTCCTAAGCCGTGATTTCTTCAATTAGATATATTAATATGTCTTTTTGAAAACTTGACACCCACATGTAAGGGGGAAAGTTGCCACTTAGCAAATGGAAGAAGATATGGCAAATCATCTTCAGTGACTTAGTTGCCTATATTTCCTGGTCTTTAGAAAAAGGAAGAGGAGGAGGAGGAAAGGAGGTAGGAAAGAAAAGAGCGGGGTGAGGGAAAACCAGAGATGCTCAGAGATTGTTTGAACTTGGGCAGATGCCACTGAGGTAGCAGCAAACAGTGGCACTGCAAGATCGCAGGACAGTACAGATGTCACGTGTTCCGTGGTGTAATGGTGATGTCATGCTGCAGCAGGCTTGTTGACTTTGGGGTTTTGTGGAAAAGCCAGAGCTACAGCCAGCAGGGCCACAGTTCAGAAAAGCATATTAAACTAAGCGCTGAGTAAATTCGTGTTCAATAAATCATTCTTCTGTTTAAATAAATCATTTGAAATGTGCGTGTTGCTGAAGCAAGGCCTTATCGTAAGCCACTCTGCAGTATCTTCTTCTCTGGCTTCATAGTTCCTTTGGCCTGAACACAATAATTACATAGCAGCAATTTATGTAATGAATATTCATAATTTTCTCCAAAGCTTTAAGACAGCTTTTTTTTTATTTCATCAGACAGACATGCCCCACCTCTACCTCAGTAGTGTGCTCTAGCTTACATTGGCTGTTGCAAGTAGTGTTGCTTGATGCATGAATGGTTTAATTTTTCTACGTCTCTCTTACAGGATGCTGTTGTCATTAAGTGGAGAAAAGTTGCCAGATCCTGCTGTAGTTATCTTTTTACTAAGCAGAAGCCTTTCAAGAGTTCAGGGTTTCAGTTATAAGTGATGTTCAGTGGGTTTTTTTCTCTTGAAAAAGTATAGCTGAAGTTTCATGTGCAAAAACCTGGATATTGAGCCTGTTGGATTTCACCAGCTCCTGTCTGTCAGTAGACTGAAACAGTGTCACGATCACTATACAGAAAACCAGCAGCATCATAAGATGCTGGTATAGTGCTTTGAAACTGTATTTACAGCTGTATACCAGGAAAGGTGTCTTTTTGTCATGGGATACTGAATAAACTGTACAAAACTTAAGCAAACTCATAGGGAAGACTCTAGAATGTAATTGTTTCCTACCAGATTATTGCAATTTTAGGTATCATTGGAGACAGTCAAAATTCCAATGACCTATGTAAGATAACACATGGGGTGTGTTAAATCTCTTCTTATTAAGAAACTTCTGAAATACTAGAGTACAGCAGGTGAACATAAATGAAACAAAATCTAAAAACGACTCTTTTAAATTGAATTTCTAAATTGATTGAAAATATTTTTTTAAACAGAATATTATTGCTGAACATGAAATCCGTAACATTTCCTGTGCTGCACAAGACCCTGAAGACCTTTCTACATTTGCGTACATCACTAAAGACTTGAAGACGAATCACCACTACTGCCATGTATTCACTGCGTTTGATGTGGTCAGTTTATAGAAGATACTTCATTTACTAGTTCTTTGTAATAGTACTAATTCTTTAATTCCGTTAAGACATTTTCAGGGTATATGATGATTAACAGAAGGTATCATTCATTTACCACATGAAAAGACTCATCTACTATGGGGTAGTTAAGGACATTTCTGGAGAAGAGCAAAGATTTTCTTTGATATTATCTCATTTCCCATCTGAAATAACTCATCTCTGTAATCTCAGCTGTTGACTGTAAACGTAGCGAGTGGCTTTTCATGCAAGTCTTGACACGTAATTCGTCTAACCTAAGCTATAGCCTTCCACGAAGTTTGTAACAAGCAGGTTTGGCCACCCATTCTGAAATCTTAGCGCAGACCAAATAAACACCTCAGAACTGGATCAGTATGCATTATATACGGTGCTCAGTCCTGCTAGGAGGTAGGTTCAGGAACTAGCTTAAACTGAAGTTTGCAAGGTGTCGTGGAGTTTTGACTGCATTGTACTGCCTGTGCAGTCACGGAAGGATGGGTTTGGGGACATCCAGCCTTTTTTGGCTTTTACTCTTATGTGTCCGACCCATGCCAGCCAACAAGGGGTTGGACACTTTCTTGTGGGGGTCCTTTGAGCCAGGACACATCCCACCCTTGTGAAGCAGATGTAGACTGCGTTTTGGACCAGAGGTCAGATGTTACCACCGTAAGTCATTTCTTCAGATTTCTAACCCTGCTGTTCCATGACTTTCAGTGTTTCAGCATTAAGCTGGATCAGGCCCAATAACTCAAACATCTCTCTAAATATTGTTTAGACTTTTGGACATTATATTGAATAAACTGGAAAACTGAAACTTCCTCCGCAAATGTATAGAGAACATATGAGAAGTTTTGTATTTACTTTAACCAGAGAACCGAAATGCTTACAAATCTGACAGAGACCGCAAAGGTAGCTCATTCCATATCTCAAGAGGTCCTAGGAATATTTGGCTGCCCCACTGAATCTGAAAGATTTGAAACATCTGTGATAACAGAGATCTGTGCATTGTCTGTTCTCTGTTCCTGTGTTAGAGGTTACCCCTGTAACGATCAACAGATTATTATTATTTATTAGATGGTCCCTCTGTTCTGGTCTGCTCTCCTCTCTGTCATGTTGGTGGGAGTTTTAGCTTAACAAATAACACAGATATGGAACTTGGGGAAATTTTATTTTAGCAGCACCTTTACCTTTTCAGAAAGATTGCCTTTATGTTGAAAATAGCAAATTAATGCTTTAATTCTTACTTCCTTGTTCCAACCTTCTTGCCTAAAAATTGCAAAAACGTTATTTCAGCAAAAGTCCTTACAGCTCCTGTTACTTTGGTGGAAAGCTCTTCCTATATTTATGCTCCTCAGATGGTGATGCACAGGCTACTAGTGTTTGAAGAAATTGTGAACACATATCAATTAATCAGTTATGCTGTTTTCAGCTAAATTTGGTGAAATAAGTAGTGTCTCTAATTGTTAGGATTAAGAGGGCTTGTTGTCCAAAACTTGCAGGAGGACTTGCCCTTTGAGTTGAGCACAAGGGAAATTTAAGACGCTATGAAAACTTTAAAATCATTCAAGAAAAAATATTTTAATATAGTATAATGTGTATAAATTCTTGAAACATGCTTACATGAATATAAGTAAGTTAAATAAAAAAATAGATGTCTGAACTGAGGCATTTTATTTGGGACTGGGGAAATAGTCAACATTGCAGAGCAGCAGCATGTGGGAGAGTTTAAATAACAAGATGTACAGGAAGGCAGGTTAGAAGGAATTTTAGTGTTTTGGTTGAGTGCTTTTGTTGTTTAAATTCTCTGCTGACATTTTAGTGTCCACAGAGAGTAGAAAAAACTTGAAAATTGTGTTAAAAATAGATAGACCATGGTCAACAAGATGTTACATTATGTAGATTTTAGTGATAAGTGAATCAGCTGAAATTAGACTGATTGAGTGAGGTTATTATTTGTCCTGATCCATTTAAATACTTCTTAATGGTTTCAAAGTACTACAGTTTCATTTATAGGTTTAATAATCAAGCACAAACATAGACCCAGGAATAGCAGATGAAATTCATTTTCTCCTTGCTCGTCAAGGAAAGAATAGTGATACAGGAATAATTACAACATTTTGCTCACTTCCTTTACCTTAGAAGGAGCATTTAATACGCCAAGCACTTTAAATGGCTATTTTAAGCAATACAGAAACTTTAATATCTGTGTTAGGCATTAGATTAAGTGAAGTTTTCTCCTGCAACATAATCCTCAGTGGGGTGTTACCTACTCAGATATTCTGCTTTTGTGTTGTTTTATTTCTCAGGATCTAGCTTTTTTGATGCAAGTACAAGCTCCATAAAAAGTAGCTGGACATTCAGAGTGCAAGCATACAGTAAATTAAATTTTCGATTTAAAGTCCAACACTTATGTTAGGATGATCTTCCAGTTTACTAATAGAAACAATCCTACCCATTTGTCAATGGATAGAAGTCCAATCATGTTAAGAAAAATAAGGTTTAAAATTACAGAAATCCACAATAAAGTGTAAAAAAGATGTATCTTAAATTATATATATTATAGTAATACAACATCTGCAATGGTATAAAAAAAATTACGCTCTCTTTGGGCCTTCAGTTCGTCAGGAAGTGTGGGCAAGAACAATTTTTTTTTGCAGATAGGAAAGCATTTTACTGGAGTAACGTCAGCTACCAGCACTGCTGATACTTACTATTTAGGAGTGACTGTACATATAACTTGTCTACTCAGAGTTAAAATTCTATAATCAAAATTACGAAAACATCAGACCTGATTAAAGAATATTGAAGGGGACAAGATTTGAAGGAAGAAGAGGATTTATTGCTCAATATTTTAAATCCACTTCACTCTCATTCACTTCTAAAGCAACCCTAAAACTACCAGTGAAGGATTCCCTCTGGAGAAACAAACGATCATAACAGTTTCTATACCAAATTCTGGTTCATATATGGGAGACATCCAAAGTAATTTCCATCAGATATGCCTTCATTGCCCAATGCACCTATGAACAGAAGACAACTGGCATAAGTGGGAACAATTCCTGCTCTTGCTCATGCCAAGGATTAGACTGGTGCTCTGCATAACACAAAGAATTTTTTCTGCTTTTCAGTTTTCTTTTGTCCTTTATTGCACAGACTTACGCTGGATAAGAATTGGGAACTGCGAGTATACATACTTAGCAGAGAAGAAAAAGCATGCATTCAGGTCTCAAAGATCTGTTCATTGCCTTCTTCCAGGGGATTAGGGGACTCTATAATTTTCTCTGTTCATATGGTCATCCAGGTACAATCAATGTGGCATCCCCATGGCTCCAGGGCAGAAAACTTCTTTCCTTTGCAGTACTCCAAGACAGCATGCCCAGACAGTCCCCTCTCTGGGACGTATTAGGTGGAATGTGTAAAACCATTTCAGCTGCTTCTGGTAAACTTCTTGAGATAGAGCACGCTTAGGTACAAGGAGCTTTCAACTCATGAGCAAATGAATCTCTCCTCTGTCATCTACATCAATAGTTTTTGCAACCGCCTGAAAGGCCCACTTGGAAGACCTTGTTTCCATCATCCCATTGCACACAAGATTATCTTTCTGTGACATATTAAAAGAGACGGATGGATTCAGAAGAGTTTGCTATCCACAATTGCTTTAGATTCAGAATTTAAGCTGCAGGAGTGCCTGATCATGAAAGCCTCATGCAGCCCAGGAGCCCACAGCTGTTAGAAGCAAATGCCAGCCATGTTGGTCTCGTCACACCATCTTTGGTGAGTTGAGCTTTCTTGCCCTTGAATGCCCAAAGGCTGACACATTGGAAAGCGCAGATAAACACCCTTTCCAGATCCACCCAAAAGTAAAAGATTTGTGGTCTGGAGGGATAAAACATATGTACGCTTAACAGTGTAAATGTGTATGTGTGTTAGCTCTGCCTCTCTCCTACCTTCCTTCCCTTCTTGCCAGGCTTTTATAGAATCATAGAGTGGTTTGTTTGGAAGGGACCTTAAAGATCACCTCGTTCCAATGCCCCTGCTATGGGCAGGGACACCTCCCACCAGACCAGGTTGCTCACAGCCCCATCCAACCTGGCCTTGAACACTCCCAGGGATGGGGCAGCCACAGCTTCTCTGGGCAACCTCTGCCACTGCCTCACCACCCTCACTGGGAAGAATTTCTTCCTCATAGCTCATCTAAATCTTCCTTCTTCCAGTTTAAAGCCATTGTCCCTTGTCCTGTCACTCCAGGCCCCTGTAAAAAGTCCCTCCCCAGATTTCTTGTCGGCCCCTTTAGGTACTGGAAGGCTGCTCTAAGGTCTCCCTGGAGCCTTCTCCTCTCCAGGCTGAACAACCCCAACTCTCTCAGCCTGTCCTCACAGCAGAGGGGCTCCAGCCCTCGGATCATCTTTGTGATCTCCTGTGGACTCACTCCAGCAAGTCTGTGTCCTTAAGTAGAAATCCTCAACATTTGGACTTGAAGACTCTAGTATGACTAAGCAGTAGGCAACTGGTTTCATCCCAGGGGACGGATATTTTGAACTGGGTTGGGATTTTTCAGATTTTTCAAGTAAAGCTTCCATATGCTGTGTTCTGCTTGATTTTGCCAACTGCAATTTTAAGTTCAGTACCTTGAACACAGAATGTCCTAATTGACATTCCTACACATCTGATGTGATGGGTAGCTCACAGTAATCATCTGCAAGGCTCCAAAGGAAGCTTCTTCAGTAAATTCAGTCTTCAAAAAATGACCAGATTTGACATTGATCTTAAAGAAGGAAAAAAAATCATGACCTAAAAGCAAAAGTCCATAAAATTCTCATTATATCAAAAGTGCTTTCCCAAAAAGGCAAAATGTTAGTTTTTCCCAAAAATTCCTTTGCAAGTGACATTTTAAGTTTTTGTAGCTCAAAAGACAGAAATTTTACTCTCTTTCTTAAAATATTCCTGAAACCTCAAAATAGCTTTATAGAAGCATGAAAATACAATGAAGAAGCAGTGCCTGCTGCAATTTATGCAGTAAAAAAAGTCAGTTAAAATGTAAGGAAACAATTAGCCATTGTAATATGTTGGCTGAGTTAAAGTGGCCGAAGAATCCTGACTCAGACTTGTGCTGGGGCAGTGAATTACCACATTACATGGCAAATGAGGCAGTTGACCCCGATCTCTCGTCTCGATTGTTGCTTAAAGGTGTTAATGTACTTACTTTCCTTCTCTGCTGTGCTAAGCAAGGAACGGGATTATCGCAGCTTCCAAAGCACCGTGGTCCTAAGAGTTTTGCCTCCTTTCTCAGGAGCTTGATGGGGAGCTGTGAAGGTCAATGTCTTCTACGGTGACCAGGAGGTCTATAACTTTTGGGCTAAGCATCTTTCCGGGAGATAGACCTGTTTCCTTCCTTTTGTGCCACATGTAAACAATTGAAGTCATTGCCTCACTCCAGCAGAAGAATTTTCATGACAGATTTTTGTGGTTTGGTTTTCTGCCCCCATCCTCAAAGGAATTCTGCTCTTACCTCTCCAGTATAGCCCCTGCAAAACTCCCTACCAACTCTAATCCTCATATTCCTCTCCTAGTGCTTACAGGTGAGAAATTCCTCAAACCAAACTTACTTTCTTCTGGTTTTGTCTTTTTTTTTTTTTTTTTAAATAGAGTTTTCTAGATAGCTTTTTTAAATTTTACAAGGTACAATTTTAAAGCCCTCCTTGCCTCCATTTGCAGACTTCTCTTCATCAAGGCTTTTCCGCAGTACGCCATGTATGAAATTTGTGTACAAGTTACGGTTCAGTTTACCTTCAAATATTGAACAGAACAGTGAATATTGTGGTTTATTTGCTTTATTTCAAATATTTATTAACGACAGAAACAGTTACATGTTTTCCATGACTTCAAGGCTCCAGGCAGGCCCGTTTTTTCATTTTTACAGACTGCAAAAGAAAACAAATCACAGTGGCTTCAGATGAGATTCAGGACCCAGACTAGGTTTATGGCTCAGCATGGCAAACTCTCTGCTTGTCTCTGCTCTTCTCTCGGAGCTTTTCAGGCCTGTCTCTCAGTGACCTTTTTGTATGCCACACTGGACAGTGCATTTTCTCAGTCCCGCTACTGTTACAGTGTGCATTTTATCCAAGCCTTTACTACACCCTGTCCTGTTGATGTATTCCTCAGCAATAATAATATCTGCTGTAGACAATCCTGTGATGATATAGTATGCTATCTTACTGTCACAACAGCTGATTAAGATGTCCTTAAAATAATATTCTTGTCCTACTAATAGGTGCACTTCATTTCAAATACTATTATTCTGTACATTTTTAACGATTGTGGTCTGTTGGTCTTAATTAATTCCATAGCCGGCCTTCTGCTAAAAGGCAGAGCACTTCTTTATAATAGTCTCTTTAGTCTTTCATTTATTAACTCCAGTGGCAAACTGCATCCTCAGTGTTTCTCGATCCTGGCTAGTTTCCTTAAGTTAAAGAGGAGACAATTTGGAGAATACTGCTACCAAATCAGGCAGACATTTTTATTTGGGAAGCTGTGAAACTTTGGCTAGCTTGCTGTTGTGACTGCAGTCATAACAGCCGAGAGCATATCCCAGGGGAGGAGTCTATTTGTTTTCTGTCTGACCTAACAAAGACCAGAGCTGGTACCTTTATGAGAAGTTCTTATAATGAGCTAAATATGCTGAATTTAGCATATACTATCTCAATATACATGTCTGATAAAGGGATGGAATTTCCTCATGACTACAGTGAAATTACAGTGTAGGGTGTGAAATAAAATGCTTGTCCTTTTAATTGTGTTTCAACGATTGAAGGGCAGGTCATGTACTTTCAAAGGTCTTGCATTGCTTTCTGGCTTATTGCAAACTCAACAGCTAGACTTGACTAGCTAAAGAGATATCTCATTTAAAATTGTATCACAAACATGTGGGAACTTTAACGCATCACCCAGTTTCAAAGCAATGCAGGATTGCTTCCAAGTATGGGCTACGGAGGTTGAGGAAGGAGAGGGTAGCTTCTGAATTACGTCAAAGATTTATGAATTATTCTAAGGAGATTGTAGAATGTAAGGAGGCAAGCCTGCAGGCTTGCGTTTGCACTGTGGGGGTTCAGAACATTATCACAAAGTCAGTAGCCTAGAAGTAGGCTCTAGTAGGAGCCTAGAAATAAATAAACCAAAACAAACCCACAAACCTGAAAAAAAATTACCATAGAAATTCACTTGCAGTTTAGGTTAAGATGAAGTTTGAAACTCACAGCTGCTTTTTTTGTTGATGTAAAACTGTACTGAAAAAAATACTAATACTGACCCCCTTGTTCTTATTCAGGCTTTATAAATCTTTCAGCAGGTTTTCTTCCACATATGCAATGAGAACTTATTCTACCTATACCACCAAACTAGTCTTAGTCTTAAGAGCCTGACTTCTTTGGTCATTCATGCTAAACCACCTTCTTAGAAGAGTATTCTGACATGCCAATTTAAGCTCAAACTTTTTTTATTTCTAGAAGACAAAACCATGAGAACGTTTCCCCAGCACTTGGAACATGCATCCGAAGCGGAGCACTGACTTTCATGCATGCATAGATGCACCGCACCTGTGAAGCAGAGCATGCACTTTCTAACCATTTGCTTTTTGTCCTTTTGGAAGCATCACACCAATGCCGCGTCCTCTTCACCCTCTTTCACCCTGTTGGGTGAAAGCACAGAGCATCCCAAGGTGCACACCTGGGGAAGCAGTGCGTCAGGCTGCCAGCATGGGAGGAGGATGGAGCAGCAGAGGAATGTAGAAATAAAAACAGAAATGTATGAAATAGAACAAGGCTGACTGTCAGATAGGTGCTGGAGTGCAAGATAGGGGGGATCTTGAGAGCAGCTGATATGGGGTGAGCTGGGAAGGTGGGGGGGTTAATGCACTTGTTCTAGAAAGAGATGACACGCACTCACCCACTCCTGTTTTCATGTTTAGTGAGACAATGTTTTCAAGGTTTTTAGAAGTAATTACTTTCAGCACAATAAATTACATTTAGATGGTTTTTAATCGTGAGAGATCAAATGTCAGATGTAAATAACTAGGGAAGTTATTACCAGTGTGATTTTAATTATTTACATTACAAATCACTCCTGTAGACAGTACTACCCCTCTTCATGTATCTGACAATAATTCAACCTCACTCCAATTTTAACTGTTTTTGTTTGGTTCCAGAATTTAGCTTACGAAATCATTCTTACACTAGGACAAGCATTTGAGGTGGCCTATCAGCTTGCCCTACAAGCACGAAAAGGGGGTCATTCTTCAACCCTCCCAGAAAGCTTTGAAAATAAACCCTCCAAACCTATTCCCAAACCACGTGTTAGTATTCGGAAGTCAGTGGTAAGTAGAAGGTAGTTGTGCATGCAAAAAAAAAAAACAACCCAAAATTCAGTCATACAATTAAGAATTGATATATTAGGTGCTGTATAAATAAATATAGCTGTGGGGTCAGAAATGCTCCATGTCTCGGTTGTGCCACCTCTGCTCATCAGCCAGCAGGGCTGTGTCACTGTGGCATGGGCAGCCCTTTCAAACAACGGCTCATCTCAGATTCCTCCAGTTTAAGATGTTGCTTGGCTAGTGTTGTGTATATGTCTTTTATAGTAACTGCAGACCTTTAATTGGTTCGGCCTAATTCCAATGTATTGTGCCTTTTATTAAGTGCTGAGGATCACAGCCAACACATACCTCTAAATCTCTGCAGTTCCATGGACTTCCCTGATCTCCTACTGAGAAATAAAATCTGCACCAAACTTGTTTGGTACATGATCACTGCGTATGTATCCTAGTCAAATTACAAATTCAAATCAATTTACAGTTGTCAGACCAAGCAACTTCTTACCTTTTTTTTTTTTTTGGCCCTCAGCAGACCCTTCTGTTCCAAAACTGGGATTCAATAATATCTTTTCAATATTTTCTTTGGGATCCCAAACTCCTAAGAATCCAGGCTTGTTGGAGCCTATGTATTGATTGTCTTTAAAGTGCTCTCCTGAAGTGCATACATGACAGAGAGAAATGGTAGAGCTTTTAAAAAAATTATGAAAACTATTTTAAATCAAGTGAGAATACAGGCACAGGGTAACTTGGGAGGGTATGGGGAAAAATGACCACACACCGTATCATATTCACTGGCTTTAAAGTGAGAACCATAGTCTGCGGTATTTAATTATCGGATGAGAGGAAGGGGGGGAAAAAATGTATGACTGTACACTTTGTCATCCGTTGCCACAGAATCTTCCTCCATAAAGTTTTAAGAAAGAACATTTCCTGATGCCATCATCCGTCTCAGTAGCAAAAGGACTTCGCAGGATGAAGCATGGCTTTAAGGGGCTTTATATGATGCCCTGTGGCTTGGGGGTAGACATAGCTTTGATCTAAACAGGAAAAAGAGGGCAGCCGTGGGTACCTGGGAGCGTAGCCCACCACACTGACTGCTGCAGGACTTTGGCAATACAGGATTTGTTCTGGCTTCCATTTGTTTAAAGAAAAAAAACTTCTGCTAGCAGTGCCATGCGCAGAGATGGTAACCCGTCTGTATGTTTGCGTTTTGTCTTAAAGCAGATTGATCCAGCTGAACAAAAGACTCTGGCGAATCTACCGTGGATTGTTGAACCTGGACAAGAAGCCAAACGAGGCATTAATACCAAGTATGAAACTACCATTTTCTGATACAAAACTGTCCCCCTGTTCCTTGTTGTGCCTTGCACGCCAAGCAGTCACAGCACAGCCTTTCCTTTACGGCAACGTTTCAATCCAGCAGAGAGGAAGACTGCACTGTATGAGTGGCCTTGTAACTCATTAAAAAAAAGGCTGACAGTCATTTCTGGTGATGTTCTTCTTCCTGCAGCACTGACAGAAGAATGACACTCCATGAAGACTTTTAAAATTACAGTCCACAAGAGGAGTGAGAAACGGTATTTTTCACGCAGTTCTCCCTTGTGACTCTGCCACAGTGCTTTCTTTGATTTCTTATTTTAGAATTCTACTTTTTAAAAAAAAAAAACAAAAAACACAAAAGGTCTCTAAACTAACACTAATGCTGCCTACTAGTAGAATACTTGATTGGTTTTTTATTTAAATCTTGGCAGTTTTTAATTGAAATAGAACCAGACTTAATAAATAGAGTATTTGTGAAACCACTGAATTCATTAATAATTACTGTGTTGAATAAAGAACTCATTAAAGTGACAAGAAATTAGGCACCCTGATTTCTGTGTGCACTGGTTTTATATGTAGTCACTGGTGTCCTTTGATCCTCTACAGAAATAATAACTTCCTGCATTGTAACAAAGGATCAGAGTTTTATGAATGGTTAGAAAAAGGTATTAATAATGCACAGAAGACATTTATTAGATATTTTTATGGAAGAGAAGTACTATAGGAAAACATATTAATATTTATGGAAGGAAGCCAGATTAATTATGACAAATACTGTTTATTTTAAAGTTAAGTAAACCACTGCTATTGCAGCATTATGAAAATTATAAGAGCTGTAGCATCAGTGCACGGGATGTTCCGTGTGATCAGTCTGGAATGAAAATGGAATGGTCATTCTGCCACACCTACATATAGTTTATGCAGTTCAACATTGCTATAGCCATGAATTCTACTAGTATTTTTAAAAAATAATCTCAGTGGTTCTAAAAAAAAGTCAAAACCATGGATTTTGCTATCAAGATTTCTGTCACAGAAAGCTTGTTTGGAAGAACGTTGATAAAATTCTACTGCAAAACATTTTCTAAATAAAAATAGCAAGAAAAAGAAAAAAATTCCAAAGTAATAAAAATGTTTTCATGGAACAAATAGTTAAGCATTTGCTTAATATTTGATTAAATAAGATTTACTTACATTTTCTTTGAAGTGTTTTAATTTTTTTAATGTCTGTGGAGTATTTGTATAATACCATGATGTATATTTATGTAGAACTGAAATTATAACAGTACAAATATCACTATAGGAGAAAAATGACATTTTAATGTATATTGTTCTATCCAGTCAAATTGTGAATCATTTTGAAGTTCATTATAGAGATATTGATAATTGTGTGGTTGTCTTAATGTTTTTTTAATTATTATTTCGTATCCAGCTGAGGTTTTCAGTTAGAATCATCAGTTGGTAAATTCCAAAAAATGGATAATTGAACTTGGTTTAAACCTGATAATTGTATATGGTTTAGTTAAACCTAATCATAGCGCTGAGTGATGACATACTTTTAATACAGTATTCAATTTACTTGAACAAAATAGTTCCTTGTACATATTTTTGCCTATTCACTGTTGATATGTACGTAGTCAACTGACAGTAAAAAAAATAACACTAAAAATATGGTACCAAAAGGAAAATTGTATAGGAGAACAGTAAATAGTAGCCTCACTGCAACAAATACTTATGTAAATATGCTTGGGCTTCCAGTTATAAATTTTGTAATTTTGTCATTTATTTATATCCTATAAAAGCACACAAAATAAAATGAAGTTGTACAGTCCAAGTGCTTTGTGCATCATTCTCTCATTGCTAAAAGAAATAAGGGGCCTGATCCAAAGGATATGGAAATCAGTGATGGGTCCTCCCCTCCCCTTTCCACCATTTCATTGGGCTTTGGGTCTTGTCCCACACAAACCTAGGCATTGCTGTGGAGACAGTTTTGGTTTAGAATACCGGTTTTGTTTACAGATACTTCATGCTTTAAAGTCCTTAATTAATTGGGTTTTTGGTGCTCTGCTAAACTGCTGACTTGCCATATTTAACCACACCTTGTAAAGACTCACACAAGGAGTTACATTAAAACACATTTACTTCAAGCACCAAAAGTCTGAAGTAGCCAAATTTTCAGGCTATAAAACTGAGGCACCTCTTCTATAGTTGAGTGACCCCTAAAAATCAAAGGATGAGACGGGAGCTGCAGCACAACTCAAAGTAGCTGTAAGTGAAAGGATTGAAACAACAGGAGGAACTGGCAGGAAGAATTTGATCAAGGTTCATCAAAGAGATGTCAAGTGGGTAAGGTGGCACAGTGAGCAGCTAAACTTGTTTGGGAGAGAGAACTGGGGCAAAAGAGACTGAGGATGGCTAGTAAGACTGCTGAAGGATGAGAGAGATGAAAGACTAGTGGGACAGGGAATGAGTGTGAAGAGAAAAGTTTTGGGATGCAGCGAGGCAGTGAACAACTGGAACCCCCACAGTAAACATAAATTGAAACTGGAAGGAGAGAGAATTACGAGGCATAGGGCACTTCTGTATTTGCAGAAACCTGGGATTGTAGAGGGAAACATTTCTCTCACTAACCGATACTAGCATAAACCAGTTGGAGAGAAGTCCATGTGGTCCCCTCTATCATGGGACAGTGGTTCAGCATTCCTTTCTTCAGGTCCAAAGAGACTTCCACAAACCCAATGCAGTGACTGCTTGATCTTTAGTCCTTTTTGGTTAAGGTGACTTTCCATGCAAGTTCCTAGTATGCTGGAAGTAAGGGGACAATGGCCAGTCTTAAAAGTGAAGGTAGGGAAAAAAGCAGACACCTCCAAAAGATCAGAAAATGAAGAACGTTGCTATTCTTGACCTCTACGCAAGGTAAGAGGAAAGCAGAGGCAGTCAAGGAGAGCATGGGAAGAAACTGGAGCATTTGGATGTTGCAAAACCAGGAGTTAATCACAACAACTGCCTTACAGTGGGATGGTGGAGAACAACCAAAAGAAGAGAGATGATATGGAATTAGATTGCATTTGACAAGAGAAGATAAGGAAATTGGAATCAAAGTGAGGTAAGTGTGGGTGACAAAGGATTTTTAGAATTATTTGGGTAGTGAGGTCTCTAATATGCAAGGTAGAAAAGCTGCTGCTGGGAGAAGGCTTAAGGACTGGAGCAACTCCTGAGGAAACAACAGGGAAGCTCTGTGTTGTGGAGGTGGAAGGTTTCCTAAAGCTGATGTTGCATTTCAGACTGGATTTGTGACTCCTCCAGCCTGGCCTGGTGTTTATTCAATGCCAGAGGAGCTACTGCTCACGGCTGGCAGGAGGAGACACTCGGCATACCCAGTTCTGGTATCCTGCCAGTAAGTTTATGAGAGGCTGCTTCTCTTGCAGAACCACAATGTTACACACACGCTGCAGTTTGAAGCCAGCATCTCAGCATCAAAAACTGGCATGGCCACAAAATGGTGACCATCGGGATGAGAATTAGCAGGTCATGAAGAAGGTTGTATCCGTCCTTTGGAAAAGAAAGCAGCATGCTAGACAACTAATAAACTTTCACATCCAACTGTGAAATAGTTTCTACCTTCCATTCTAGATTAATACAGGCAGTTTGTGCCATGTGCAGAACTCTCATTTCATCTTGCCCTAGATTTCTTTCAATGTGCGCTGTTCAGCTGTCCCGCTTCACACTTCACTGGAGGATGATGTCTAAGATGTCATCAAGACAACAGTCTAGAAATAGTAACTTCAACTGTCTCCAAACAATCAGCCCGAAGAACAATTGACTCTGTGGAGAAACTGTGTGGCACTGATAAGCGTGTACGTGAAAGACATGGCATAAGGATTAGAGACAATATTTAGATGTGGGCACTTATCTAAGAATAGGGATATCTGTTATCTCATGTAAAAAGACTAGCTGAAGAGAGTGGGAGAAAAAAGGACCATTAACTTGGTGGAAAGCTCACTGGAAAGCACCAGGGGATAACGCTCAGGCTTCTGCTGAAAAGCTCTGTAACTGTTTAGTGCTCTATAACTTCTTTAGGTGAACCAACTACTTTGCTAAACTAGCAAACTGACCATACTGCTATCAAGTCCACTGGTTCTAGTTAACTTTCACACCTGTGAGCCAATAACCCAAGCTAGACAGAGGCTGATCACAGCTCAGCTAACTGAAACCAACACAAGATGCCCTTGCAGCCAGAATTCACACTAGGACAGATTTGGTGGAACTGGTGGATGATTTCCTTCCTACTGACTAGACAGTCACACTCATCCTCATTACAATCCTGAATGCAACCACCCCTAACACCGCTGTCCTACTGAAGAGGCAGAAAAGGGAAATCAAGGAAATGGCCTATGGTCCTTGCCTTTCAGGAAGGATATGCTCCAAATGCAGGAATGGGAAATGGCACCTCCATGCCTGGTTCTCTTGTGTACTCTTGTACACTCACAGAACCATAGAATGGTTTGGTTGGAAAGGACCTTAAAGCCCATCTTGTTCCAACCCCCCTGCCATGGGCAGGGACACCTTCAACCAGACCCGGTTGCTCACAGCCCCATCAAGCCAGGCCTTCAACACATCCAGCCTGGCCTTGAACACTTCCAGGGAAGGGGCAGCCACAGCTTCTCTGGGCAACCTCTGCCACTGCCTCACCACCCTCACCGGGAAGAATTTCTTCCTCATAGCTCATCTAAATCTTCCCCCTTCCAGTTTAAAGCCATTGCCCCTTGCCCTGGTAAAAAGTCTCTCTCCGTCTTTCCTATAAGCCCCCCTTCATATATTGGAAGGGCTGAACAACCCCAGCTCTCTCAGCCTGTCCTCACAGCAGAGGTGCTCCAGCCCTCGGATCATCTTCGTGGCCTCCTCTGGACTCGCTCCAACAGGTCCATGTCCTTCTTGTGCTGAGGACCCAAGAATAGCACAAGGAAATTTCTCTTCAGTCCTACTTAACATTTGTATGCATTTGCTACTGCAACATCTTTCACCCTTCCGCTGTGGAAGTTGGGTACCTCAATATCTTTGAGAATGTGAGTCTGGGTAGAGTGGTAACAAACAGACAGACAAAAATGCTGTTGGTATGTAAACGAAACAAAATTCTCTCTCTCTCTACTCTTGGCACCAAAAGCTTGGAAAAGAAAACTACTTTGTCTATCAATCAAGAAAGCTGAATTCAAAATACTTTACAATCACATAAGAAAAAGTGAAGCTTAGACAGAAACTGAGGGCCTTAGACTTCTTTGTCACACATAGAAAATATATCACAGGTTTAACATCATAAGCTCACTTAATTGTAAGCTATATGCCTTTTTGTCTTTTTTTTAAACATGGCAATTGCTGCCTTCAAGTCATTAGAAGAGCTGCTCAAATTCTCCAGATGCTTATCCAAAGCTAAATTTATTCTAATGTTAAATCCTTTTAAAAAATAAAATGAAAAATTCACGCATAATGTTAAGAATGCATCAATGCCGGCAGTATATTTGTTATCATCTTTTCTAAAGATGTAATAGAAAACCCAGAAAATCAGAGTGAGACAAAGGAAATGGAAATATGCTCCAGTATAGAGAATACCTAAAGAGCATTAACTTTATCCTATAGTGACACCATGAGGAAGAAAGAAATAGACTACACTAATTTTAAAACTGCATTAGATGCAGTGCAGTCTTCATTCTGCTTGTGGTTCTTGGATAATGATAATTGCTAGGCTGCAGAATCAAGGGCTTGGGCATGTCCTAAGCAAAAATACCCTAAGGTATATAATTGAGGCTAGCACTACTTATTTCTTGAGCTTATCTTGCAAAAAGAAGATTACTTTTTTTTTATTCTGTTACCTTTACATACTTATACTGTTATACACTGTCTGGAAGGTATCAGTGACAGATTAGGTGAACAATTCCGCATTGGAATTGAGTGAATCTACTGAAGCCTCCAAGTATCTAGGAATGCTGTGCATGAGCGGAGGTTAATATGAAAAGATGTCCAGTCATTCCCCATGGCCATCTCTCTGTCACAGCCATTACATTTAACTCAGCTATACTTACGTAAAGTTTCAAGAATTACCTGGGCCAAATACCTCAAAAACCTAGAAAATTAAATTGATTGCTACAAGAAGTAAAGAAAAGAGCCTACTAAAGTGCCATCATTACCCCCAGTCCCCGATGTGGCAGGAAAGCCCTTAGGTGAGAAGCACCTAAGAAATTCCAGCTGGTGAAACACACAGCCTGGCCCCTGTACTACAGAAAAAGTTGGGGAAAAATATCCCTGCCAATCCAACTTTGGGGAACTCCATTTCCCAGCCAGAAGTCTAGTCATTACATGATGCAGTCTGCAAGGAAACTGCCCTAGGAAAA